ACATTAAATTGCTCAATATTCTCCATTTAGTTTAGGGAGGGAGGTGATGTGAGAGAGTAAGGTTAGAGAATGTCGTTTTATCTCTGTTACTAAAGCTTCCATTTCAGCTCTTTGTTTCCTTTCACTATCAAGTGCTTTAAAAGAGTAGCTTGATTCACATTTCCCATATCTTTCCCGCTTGCTCACTCCTCCTCTCTCTGGCTTCTGCTGCCACCATTCTCTAGACTCTCCAATACAAAATACTCAGCCTTCACCTTACTTGAATCCTTGGCAGAATCAGACATAGTTGACAACACCCTTCTTCAAAAACTGTCTTCCCCCAGTTTATGCAAAGAAAGGACTTCCTGTTCCCTTCCGTCCCACCCATTCTAAGGCTTCTGTGGACTGTTCACTTCTCTATGATCTGCCTATTGCTAATCCTCCAAACCCTTTTTCACTTCATTTAATACCCCATCCCTTGGTGAATTCATCTTCTCGCATGGCTTCAACCACCATCTGTTGGCTCATTCTTCATATTTACTTACTGTGCTCATGAATTTAAAACCCTGCCAAACATTTCCACCTCTAATTTAACTTGTTCAGAACTGAATTCACTGTCTTTTCTCCTCAAGTTTCTTCTCCTGCTGACATTCCCTCTTGGTTAATGCCGTTCAATTGATAAAGCCAGAAATCTGTGATTCCTCCTTCTCTGTCACCTCCCCTGCCTCCCCACATACTCACAGCTTCAATTGATCACCGAATATCTCCATTTCTCTCACCTGCATATTTCTCAACTGTCCACATCTCTCCATCCCCATCGAGCTTAGCATATTCTATAATTTCTTTGTGAATTACCATGACAGCCTCATAATAGTTTCCTCATCTCCCCCAATCTCTTCCTCACTCCGAAGTTTGGTCATTTTTTTCACATTTAATCTGATTACCTCACTCCCCGGGTCAACTCACTTCAATGGCTCTCCCTGTTGCCTTCATGTTGGTACACACAAGTTAGAGATCAAGTGTTTAACAGACGGGTTCTATAACATCATCATATAAAAAGTGAGGAATGTAACAAAGAAATGTGCCTGATAGAAAGATCCACAAACGCAGATGACCCAGGCTTATCCAACAGCAAGGTTAAGGTTTCAAGAAATTTGAATTAACTATAAGTACACAGAGAAGCCTCCAAAATTTCTTGTCTTAGATCATGGCTCCAAAAATTTTAGCCAAAATTCTTTAACATAATTTTTACAAAAGACCCTCCATTAGCCTTAAAGAATAGTACGAAAGACATTTAAAAATGTCAACTTTGATTAACTGAAATTTTTAATGTATCCTTCAAGTCAAAATCCAAACCAAAACTCACTGCTGTCCAGTTGATTCTGATTCATAGTAACCCTGTAGGGTGAAGCAGAACTGCCCCATAGGGTTTCGGAGGCTGTAATCTTTACGGAAGCAGAATGCCACATCTTCCTCCCGTGAAGTGGCTGGTGAGCTCAAACCACCGACCTTTCCATTAGCAGATGAGCACCACCAGCACTCCTTCAAGTCAAAACAGTAACACTAAATAACTCATCTTTTACTCTCTTGCTAATGTAGGCTTTACATTTTAAACATTTGTCTTAAAATAGTAGTAATCCATTTATTTA